CCATAAGCAAGATCAACTCGATTGAAAGGACTCACCTCACTTGACAATCACTCATTACCAGAATGACAACCCACCTTGTCATCTCATATAGTTGGTTTGCATCGTCTTTTATTTTTTTTATGCAAAGCATCGTCTTTTATTAAAGGCAGCGATTCTTTTTCCTTATAAAAGGTAGTACACACACAAATTATTTGGAAGTGGGTGCAGTTGATGCTAATTATATAGGGCCCAATTGAGTTATCTGTGAGAAAATAGGGCCCATGTCTACAAACCTACCTTTCACCTAACACGGCATCCTCCTATCATTGGATTGCATCCAATGGCTCAGAATGATTCCGGTGCCCTATATATTCTCCTATGTGGTTCTCGCTATTAACCCTAAACCTCAAACATCACTCACTCAGTATTTCACCATCGCCACAAAACACACCTTCATCTTGCCCTCATTCAACTGTATGTGCCCTTCCATGCTATTGCACAACCAAAATGATTTCTGCGACCTCCGGTAGGGCTTGAAATTCTTCACAAATTATGTCAGTTCTTCACTTATTTACTGTCTTTTCATCATTGTTTCTACTTAAGTGGGTTTTTTGGATTACAGACTTAGATCTCAATACGCAAACTCTATTTGGTGACCGGTTGCGTTGTGCTTGCAGCGTGCGACCGATCGACGCTGCCAAAATTAGGGAGGGAAGAAGGGGTGGATGGAGTGGCTGACGGTGGCGGTGGGGTTAGGGTTTTGGGTTAGGGATTTGGGGTTCTCAGGGGACCTCCATTGCCAGCGGCCTTAGAAGGTGATGGGCCCTCGGGCGGCAGCTGGATCGGCGGTGGTGGTGGGTTGAGGGGCGACGAGGAAGGCTGCGGGGCGCCGCTGAGCGAGCGGTGGAATAAAATCGGTAGGGAAGAGCTCGAGGCGGGGGCGACCGACCGTTCTTCCTCCTTCGATTGAGATTAGTGGAGGATAGGGGTGGGCAATGGGCGGTGCGGCCGGGGGCGCCACTGGCCAGGGCGGTGGGCGAGGAAGGTTGGGGCGCAGGTGCGACAAAGACGGCAGGGCAAGGAAGACCACGGGGTCACGCACGTAGAGCACGACGGGTCGCGCACAACAAGTGCTAGTTCTATGTTACGGTCGTTTTCAGGTGATTAATAGCAAGAAGATGTAGCGGCTTCATCGACTCAATCGCAAAATCATGGTATAAATTTCTCCCATATATATTTTTCATTATTATTTCTCGAGGATAGTTGATCTATCCAAGCGAAATATATATGGTGATAACGCACAGAAATGTTAGCATGTTTTTTCCCGTGGGGGACATGTTTAGTAGTAATAGCCCAAATCCATTTCAGCGGTCATTCACCCGTTTCGGATTCAGCGAACGATTCAACAGCGTGCATGCCGGCCGCCAACCCTCCTCCTCCCCCGCTGCATTTTCCCTGCTCCTAACGTCACCATGCAAAAAAAAGTGTAACACTTATTTCAAATTGCTATAACTTTCTAACGGTGTATTTATTTTTAATTCCGTTTGCACTGGTGTATTCTACGTGACGAAACGAACAAAACTAGACCCCACTTTCATATGTTTTGAAGAAATTTTTTAGTATTAATTTATTTATATTAAATTATAACATATAACTTATAACATATGCACATAAATTTTATTGATTAACTTTATGTACACAAGTTATATGAGTAACTTATGTACATAAATTGTGTTTCATAACTTTTGTATATAAGCTGTGTTTCATAAGTTTTTATGTTGGGGGTCTTGTGTTCTTGCTCCTACTTTGATGTGCAATTGTGATTTTGTCCTCGTTTTTATAACTTTGTGATTTTACCCTTCACTGTTAGCAAGTCAACGCGATTTTGCCCCTAGTCAACGGTCAAAACAGGGGCAAATTCACAAAGACCAGGGGCAAAATCGCGTTGACTTGCTAACAGTGAAGGGCAAAATCACAAAGTTAGAAAAACGAGGACAAAATCACAATTGCACTTTAAAATAAGGGGCAAGAACACCAAAAACCCTTTTATGTTTGTAGATTTTGGTATAAGTTATAAGTTAATATGTTCCTTTATGTGTTAATAACTTTTGTGTTTGCAAGTTTTGTCATAAGTTATAAGTTAGTTCATTCCTTTATGTTTAATAACTCTTGTGTTTCCAAGTTTTCGTATAAGTTACTACTCCGTTCTAAATTATAGTTTGTTTGACTTTTTTATCGTAAGTTTGACCACTCGTCTTATTCAAAAATTTTATGCCAACAGTCAAATTTAAGTCATTCTTGAAGAACTTTTGTTAATAAAATAAGCCGCAACAAAAGAAGTGATATTTTGCATAAATTTTTTAATAATACGAGTGGTCAAACTTAAGGTCAAAAAAGTCAAATGAACTATAATTTAGAACGGATTTAGTATATGTTATAAATTATATGTTCTAAGTTAGTACATATAAATTATTATTAATCTTTTTCTTAGAAATATATGTAAGTGGGATAAAGTTTTGTTCGTCTTATCGCGTATAACACACCGGTGTTGACGAAATTAAAAATGGATACACCGTTCAGAAGTTATAACAACTTAAAATAAATGTTTGCTTTTTTTAAGACTGCGTTAGGCTGACGTCACAGGGAGGGAGAGGAGTGCTGCGCGCTGCTGATCTATCAAAAATAGGAACGTGGGAAATTTTTTTGCCATAAAAAGGAAATTATTACTTTCGGAAATTTTTTAGCTGATTTACTAGGGGATGAGCGTTCGCTCATTAGCCTGGCCGGTAGTAATAGCCACGTCCAAAGAGTATCGCCGTGTTTCTTGCTAAAACACTGAAAATTTTCACACTGCCCATTTGAGTTTTTGGTCTACGCAAATTTATTTCGATTTAGAATCATGTGTCGCTAGTCGATTTACAAATCTGAATTTATACTACATTATTGAATGAGATATGACCTCTTTGGTATTATACTGCTGTTGTAAAGTACCACGACATGGCATAGTGCTTCGCTGCTCCATGCATAATGCATTCGAACGCAGCAATGTATCGTTCAAGCTAGGTCGATCTGACTTATGGTCTCATCATGCGCTAGATCCATCATCTATGTCGAGCCCGAGCGCAAGCGGCGTCCCGGACGCGGGGGCCGCCACGCCATGGGGCACATCTCCGGGGCCGTAGCTGTCGTACGACATGGCCGCGTTCAAGGGAACGCACCCGGCGCTGACTCACGCCGTGGTGGCCACGTCGTCGTCGTTCAGGTGGTGTCACCGCCCATAGGCCTGGTCTACTTCGCGGTGTTTGACGGCCGCCGCCGCCGCCGCCGCCGAGCCCGACGCCCTACCTACGCCTGCTGTCAGGCACGGTCGCGGGGCAGGTCAAGACAGAGCTGTGTCCAGCGAGAACCTGCCGTTTGGTGAGGGGACGCCGTGTCGTCGTCGCACCACGTGTGGTTGGGTGGTGGAGAACGTACAGTCATGCTGCAAGAGCTGTTCCGTCGTCCTCCATGCGGAGGAGGCGCGGTCGCCATTCGCCAGCTAGCACGTACGAACCCCGGCGAGAACGTGCCCGCCGCCTCCGTGGCGTACGGCCGTCACCGCACTGGTGTCGGAGAAGCAGGTTCCTCGTCGCGAAATACGGCGCCTCCATGGCCGCGATATATCTCGCGACCGCGCGCGAGCTCGATTCCTGGAGCTCATCTCCGAGCACATGCTCGTCTCGTCAGTGAGCTCCACAAGCTCGGTCGCCGCCGCGGGATATCACGGTCACGGACTCGTCGTCGTTCGCGATGACGAGTTAGTTCTCGAGCACCGGCGCGACGATGGCCGTCGCAGCGGCGGGTGGGCGCGTCCTCGCCACTACTTCGCCCTGGCTGCAGGCCGCCACCTCGTCTTGGAGTGCCCTGAACAGCTCTTGCACAGCACCGTCGTCCTCGTCCACCACCCTACCACGTCGTCACGTGACGTCCCGTCACCGAACCCGCGGTTTTCGCCGGACAGTTCTAGGTTGACCTGCCCCGCGACCGCGTCCCCAGCAGCGCAAGTAGGCGTTCGATCGGGCTCTGCGCCGGTGGCCACGCCGAGGTGGCGACCGTCCAACGGTGAGGGTGGAGTAGTCGAGCCCTATGGGCGGCGACAGCACCGTGAACAACGTCGTTTCCTCATGGCGTCGGTCAGAGCCGGGCGTATGCCCTTCAACAACGCCACCATGCCGTAGGACATGTATAGCTCCAGCGCCGCAGCCTTCTCCGGACGTTGCTCCTGCTCGACATGGATGATGGGCAATGAACGCTCGCTGCCACTACCAGCATGGCAATTGTGCGCTCAAGGGATCATACATGTGTTTAGTAGCCTATGGCTCAAATTAAAGCGCCATACAACTCATTTGACGTCCGGCCATGGACTGCGCTAACTAGCTCATGCATTTGACGTCGTCCGGCCATGCATTTGACGTCGTCCGTTGCGCATTTGCCTGGCAGAGTTTCAGAGGAGCCATGACGACAACCGGACACATCACACAGAATACAAGCTGAAGAAGCAAGTTGTCCAAGTCGATCGAGTCGCTTCATCTTCCAATCCAAACGAAATAAAATGAACAAAGTTACACCCATCTAGATCTTGCATCCCGTGCTGTTTTCTTCCTTCAGGTCCCTTTTTTCAACCAAAATTTCTATTCATTCAGTTTGATGATTTGATCTGCTATTTGGATTTTGTGAAAGAGTTTTCGTTTCTGTGGTTTTGAACTGTACGATCGTGTGTGCTTTTCGATTCGCGGCAACTGCAGTAAATAAATTTGAAGTTCAAACGTCTATCTTACTGAAAAAGACACAAATCCATCTGAGGACTCCTACAAAGTTTAATTTCACACCAACCAAATGCACGAACGACACACACCAACCAAATGCTCCTACTGAGGACTCAGCGAACAACGAACGGCCGGATCACTTGAACACTTTGTTAGCAACGCAGTGCGAGGAATCGGAGAAGAACAGGAAAGGAAAGATTGTATTACATCAAGTTCTCACTGCCACTCGGGCCCCACGTACCGGCCACATGGGCGAGTCTGACGAGTGGACCGGCGAACCTTCTCTTGGCTAGCGCCTGCTGTTTCTTCAGTTGCCGTTTCGGCTACAGGATCCTGAATGGCACTTGGTCCTTCATCATTCAAGGAGGCTTGAGGGTTGCTGCCAGACTGCGTGCACCCTGCAGCCCAGAAGTCCCTGAACACAACGAGGCCGACACTGACGTTGTCCCAACTGCCGGCATGCACCGCCTTCTTGGCGAGCTCCTCGGCGAGCAGCGTCGGTGAGCCCTCCGCATCGGTGATGCGTGTCTCCCACGGCATGGTGACCCGTGAGGTCCTCCCCAGCCTTCGCCGGACGTGGGCACACGCCGCCCTCGGCGTCACCGTGTCCCAGAGCGCTGCGCTCCCCAGGATGAGGAACTCGTCGCACGCCTCCCATTCCACCGCCACCACGTCGACGACGTCCGCGGCCGCCGCCGGTGCCGGCACTGAGCTCACTGACGAGCCGGTAGTAGTCCGCGGAGCGGTGGTGAGCTTCGAGGTGGCCTCGGCCACGCGGACGCCGCCGGCGTTGTCCACGCTCTTGTTCTCATCTCTCCTCCTGTTTGCCTGCGCATGTACGTACGTGCATAGAAATGGTGAATTGCCGCTGGCCACGAATCACAAAAGCAAGCTCGCGCGTACAACTAGTTCAGGAACCTTTTAATGGAAAATGACGTCAACTCTGGACCTCTGAACAACGTAACTATCCTGACATGGACCAAATGCACGAAGAAGAAGCTAGCTTTACTTACCATGTGCTCGGAATCGGAACTGAGCTCCACGAGCTCGCCGTCCCGGGATAGCACGGCCTTGGAGGCGCCGCAGTTGCCGATGACGAGATACCTCTCGTGCACCAGCGCGACGATGGCCGTGGCGGCGGGCGCGTCCACGCCGTGCTCGCCCTGGCTGCAGACCGCGAACTCCTCGTGGAAGGCTCGGAACGCCTCCCTCAGCGTCGTCGCCCACCACCCTACGACGTCGTGGCGCGACGTCCCGTCAAGGAACCGCGGGCTGTCGCTGCACAGCTCCAAGTAGACCTGCCCAGCGAGCGTGTCCCGCAGCAGCGCGAGTATGCGCTCGGACTCGCCGCCGGCAGCGGCCGCGCCGAGGCCACGGCCGTCAAGCACGGCGAAGAAGTCTAAACCCATGGGAGGCGAGAGCACCGTGAACGATACACGTGTGAGGATACATGTGCCATCATGGGTGAGAAGATAATAGATCAACCTGTTACAATGCCCTTAGAGACCTCTGGTGTTCAAGATGTCACTCCTGTTGAGGATATTGTTTCGGTGGAGGACGCATCTGATGATGAGGAAACTGTCTCACAAGTGATAGTTGAGAACCCCATCTATCTCATCACCATCGAAGACGCTCTTGCACACTCTACGACCGAGGTCACAGCAGAAGTGTCCCAACTAGCAGATGGTCCATCACTAAAAGCAATGTCTTCTCCATCTGCCACAACTGGGAAGGAGAAGGACGTGCCGTGTCCTCCTGTACGTTCCCCTTCACCACCTGCCGTAACAGCAAGACGTCGATGTAAGTCCTATGATAGGTCTTCACTTCGTCGAAGTACCCACCTTGCACAGCGCAACGTGTTAAATGAGTTGGGCATCGTTGGGAAGGATGGGAAGCTCGATGACAACGCGATACAAGACATTGTAGGCTGCCTGAAGAATTTATTGCCACCGGATCTCCTCAAGCCTCTTATGGAATTGAAAGGTCGTGCCTTTTGGGATCTTGTGGCAGAGGTCACTTTGCCTCTACTCAATGGGTTGTAGGGTTCATGTTGGTTGTCTTTGTTTTGTTTGCTCTTGTTGACGACGACATGTTTGTTTGTTGAGTTGTCTTAGCTGTAGTGTGTTATTTTATGTTGTTTGTGCGGTTCATGTCGATGTCCCAATCCGACCGACCAGAGTTGTTGTTCTTTTTCTTTTTGTTGAGTTTCAGCATTGTTGGTCGTTGTTGTATTGTTGTGCCTATTTTGGGCTTATCTTCTTTTTAATATAATCGACAGCTCTCTTGCCTGATTCGTTTAAAAAAAAAGAATCTCAGGGATTTCATCCAGATCAAAAACAGGCTCTAACAATTAAAGAATGGAAGAAAATTAATAAGCAAATCAACTAAGCTGGGATCATCCTGGGGGGATGTGATGTCACACCTCTGATGTCATCATGTACAAGGATCATCCTACGGAGAAATCTCCGGTGGATTTTTGCCACGTTTTATATATATGCTTGTCTTTTGAAATTTCTCACAGTGCCCTTTCAGTAACGTCATATATGTAAATTGACTGCAGACACATGATCCCAAGTCCAAATAAAATCTGAATTTGCATACCACGATAACAATTGGGCACTGTGAAATTTTTTCAGATGTGTTAGTTAGCAAGAAACGAGACAATAATTCTCTGGGCATGGTTAGTACAACTAGAAATATCTACAACAACAAAAAAAACCATGTTCAAATAATTTCAAAAGGAATAATTTCAAAAGAGACCTCTCAAAAGGAAAGTTCAAATAAGAGAAACTTGCATCGGAAGATCGTCAACGGTCGTTTTCAAACGCAAAGAAATGGTGGCCGCTCGATTTGGAAGGTTGCTCCTCAGGACATTTGCTGCTAGCTACAAATGGAAAGGCAAATCACAACTGGAGCATGGTCACCACATCCGCATAAGAAGATCCCAGGTTAATTGATTTGCTGATCAATTCTCTTACACTCATTAATTGTTGGGCTTATTTGGAGTGCAAACGAAATCTCAAAGATCCAATTCAGATTTCCAAAATAAACACTTATTGATTAAGGTCTATTTATTTGAAACCTGAATTGAATCTCAGGGATTTCAACCAGATAAAAAAAAAGGCTCTAACAATTAACGAATGGAAGAAAATGAATAAGCAAATCAACTAACCTGGGATGATGTCACACCTCTGATGTCATCCTGTACGGGGATCATCCTACAAAGATTTCTCCAGTGGATTTTTGACACGTTCACGTGTTTCGAAATTTCCTGCAGTGCCCATTCAGTGACGTAGAACAAATTCAGATATGTGAATTGACTGCAGACACATGATCCCGAGTCCAAATAAAATCTAAATTTGCAGACCACATTATCAAAGGGGCAGTGTGAAATTTTTTCAGATGTGTGTTAGTTAGCAAGAAACGTGATAATAATTCTTTGGATGTCGATAGTACAACTTAAAAATGTCAATAGCAAAAAAAGCCATGTTAATTTCTTCGTGCAAATCACCAAATGTTTATCCTAGATGTATCAACTATCCTAAACAAAATAACAAAAATATTGCAAGATAGAAACTTATACCATGATTTTTGTGGTTAAGTTAACGAAGCCACTACATTTCCTTGCTATTAATCACCTGAAAATAATCGTTACAGAATTAGCACTCATCAGCTATTGAAGATGTCAAAGTCCTTAACCCACAAAAACCGCAAAAGTACAAGCAATGATGAGAACACAAGACATAATCGAAGAACCAACATAGTATGTGAAGAATTTCGAACCCTATGGAAGGGTATAGAAATCGTTTTGGTTGTGCGATAGCGTGGAGGGACACCTGAGGATGTGTCTTGTGGCGGCGGTGAAACATCGATAGGACGGTGTTTGAGATTTAGGGTTAATAGTGAGAACCACGTAGGAGAATATAAAGGACAACAGAATCATTCGCTGACATTGGATTTGATCCAACGGTAAGAGGATGTCGTGTTAGGTGCGAGGTAAGCTTGTAGGTGGGCCCTCTTCTTGAAGAAAATTCACTTGGTCGCGCATATAATTGGCACCAATTGATTTTGTACTTACTAATTTCCAAATAACTTGCATGTGTGTCGTTTTTTAAATGAAAAATCACTACGTTCAACATATAAACCACACAAACCTACTATAAATCCAATAGTTAGATATGTGGTGGAGAAAAATCCCTTTGAAAGATTAAATTTGCCACACGGTGTTTTCCAAAGTCCTAATCCCATTTGGTTCCAGAACTAGGCTTGGTTTTAGGGGTCTGCATTAGATTAATTCAATTTAGTCGCTGAGATACAAAATTCAACTTGAATTTCTTTGAAGGACTCATTTTCATGGTAGTAGGAACAACTGACTCGCCCCTCATCGGTTCAAAGACTCAAGCTTGCCATGCCACTACACAAGACTTGGGTGTTCATTAGCAATGCGTAATCGAAAGGGTTGAATGGCCCTAAGAGTCGAGGTTTAATTGGGGCTCTAAAAAATTTAAAGCATGAACTTTTTATACCTAGCAAGATTCTACTTCATAGCCCTATAACTAAAAGACCACACTAGAAACAAGTCCTTAGGACCATCACACTAAGCCAAATCCTTAGTCATAGGCACACTAACAATATTGTCCTTAGGAGCAAACTAAAACATATGAACTAAGAGAACACCATGTAAAGATCTTAGAGGTCACTCAAATGTTACTTGCACACAACAACATAAAGAAAGCACTAAGCAAGGTCAATACATGATGAAAATGCAAGAACAAAAGAGAGGACAAGAGACAACAAGATCCCCCTTGGTATCGAATTGCCAAAATGCAATCCATAGTCCACTTTGGAGCTACACCAAGGTACACTCTCGATTACCAACCATTCCCTTGGCCATGGTGTTAGGTTCGCTTTGGAACTTAATGCGTGCAGCACGGAGCGGGAGGTCTGTGGCGACCGTGTGGGGGGGGGCTACAGCGCATGCGGCGTAGGAGAACAATGCGGCACGTGGCGTGGAACTCAGGCATGAATTGGTGAACGCGACCAAATGTAGAGATTTTTTTGTTTGAACCGTTGGATGGTGTCTGGACGTTGGATGCAGGCACAAAAGTCATGCCGTGACCTAGCAAAGAAACACTTACTTCATGATGTTCGGGCATGTCCACTTTGTCTTTGGCCCGACAATCCATAAGTCCTCTTGCTCCGCACCTTAACTTGTCTTGATTTGCTTGGCTTTGTTTAACACGGTCTTCATCGCCTTCCATGTGCCCTCTTTGTTGCTTTTGAGTTTGGTATGGATCATGCATGGTCCTCTCATCCTTGGACGCCAGTCCATGCCTTCTTCTCTGCCCCCCACCTCTCGTGGTACATTGGCACGAAACTGCACTTGACCATCTCCCTTACCATCGACTATCAAGTCTTCCCCAACAAACTCAAATACTATACATAACCAAGAGACATGTTGCACCGCTGCCGCCTAGGGTCTTCAGAAAAACACCGCCGCCGCCCTTGCTCCTAGGGCCTCGTCGTTGCCACGCCTCCACCTATAGCCCCTCTCCTTCTTTCTCTCTGGTGCGTCTGCCAAAGGTAAGAAGGAGAGGGGACCCATCTCTCTTTTCCATAGTTTTTAGTTCTAGTTTGTTTAGGGTTTAGTCCAAATAATTTTTTAGTAAAATCAGATGATTTTTTGTCGGAATCGTGTGTCCTACTATGACTTCGGCGTTGCCACGACGAGATCGTCGTTGCAGACGTCAAATTCATCGGCAGCGGCCAATTTGTGGCCTTTATCTGTAAGGGGAGGGTGCTTCTGGGAGCCCCCAACGAGGACAGCGACTCCGAGTCTTCGATCTCATCGTCGATGGTCGCGAAGAGGATTTTAAGGTCTTGAGGTGATGAATCAGCAGCCTATGTTGTACTTGACGATGCAACTGTTGATATTCTTTCAGCAATTTAGATATGTTTTGGACTAGTTCTGAAGCGTTGGATCTTGCGGCATGTCCAATGTTTTGGGGTTGGTCATTGGATTCGGCATAAGGATTGCACTTTGGCTCCGTTGTTCGAGGGATGCCATTGGGGAAGAAGAAGATGGAAGAATCTCGATAGGATATTATGTATTTTTTATTTTAGATTTTCTCATGCGTAATTTGGGGATGTACTATGCCAAGATTTAATATAAGTCCCCCTTCCCTTCGCAAAAAAGAGACATGTTGTACCACCACCACTCCGCCTTTGGTTAGCCATAGCCCATAAGCAAGAATAACTCAATTGAAAGGATTCGCCTCGCTTGACAATCAGTCATCACCACAATGACAACCCACCTTGTCATCTCATATAGTTGGTTTGTGTTGTCTTTTGTTAAAGACAATGATTCTTTTTCCTTACAAAAAGTGGTACTCAGATGATTTATTTGGAAGTTGGTGAGTATATGTTCTGTTGATGCTAACTATATATGGGCCCAATTGAGTTATCTTCGAGAAAATAGGGCCCACACCAACAAACCTACCTTTCACCTAACACAACATCCTCCTACCGTTGGATCAAATCCAGTGGCTACGAATGATTCTGGTGCCCTATATATTCTCATGTGTGGTTATCGCTATTAACCCTAAACCTCAAACATTGCTCGTTTGATATTTCACCGCCGCCACAAAACACACCCTCATCTTGCCCTCATTCAACTATACATGGCCTTCCATGCTATTGCACAACCAAAATGATTTCTGCGACCTCCGACAGGGCTTGAAATCCTTCACAAATTATGTTAGTTCTTCACTTATTTATTGTGCTTTCATCGTTGTTTCTACTTAAGTGGTTTGTTTGGATTACGGACTTGGACATCTTTAATAGCCTGCGGTGCTAACTAATTCTATGTTACGGTTATTTGCAGGTGATTAATGGCAATAAAATGTAGCGGCTTCATCAACTCAATCACAAAATCATGGTATAAATTTCTCCCTTATATATATATTTTTTATTTCTCGAGGATTGTTGATCTATCGAAGCGAAATATTTGGTGATAACGCACAAAAAAGGTAACATGTTTTTCCGTGGGCGTTATGTTTAGTTGTACTAGCGATGTCCACAGATTATCGCCGTGTTTCTTGCTATGGAATTTCTATTACGCGACCCGTCGCGCGACGCGCCAGCGCGCGACCCACGTGCCTGCGCCCGGCAGCGTCGGACAGGAAGAAGAAGGTGGCTAGGGTTCCGGTGAGGATGTCTCCAACGGTAGGGTTCCGGCGGGCTTAGGGTTTTATTCCCCGGCAGCCTTAGAAGGGGGTTTGGGGGGCGCCGACCGCGACACAGAGTTGGAGGCGGGTAAGATGGCTGCGGGGCTAGGCGGCGTGGGACGACGGTTGGCAGGGCTGGCAACGAAGATGTCACAACGGAGCTCGCTGGCGCCCTGCCCTATGATTAGGGTGGGCGGGGTCGAGGGACAGGAGCGGGAGGTAGTTGGCGCGGCGAGGCGGGGGCGGGGGCGAGGTCAAGGACGACACCGGCGAGCTTCCCTGTCTTTAGGGGAGGGCGGGGTCGATGGGCGGCGCGATGAGGCGGCGGGAGCCGCCGGCCGCTGGTGGTTGAGGGCGGGGCAAGGGGCGCGCGGAGGGAGAACATGATGGGAAAGGGGGCGAGCGCGTGGAAGACGACGGGTCGCGCACGCATTAACGCTTTCCTTCTTGCTAACACATTGAAAATTTTCACACTGCCATTTGAGTTGTGCTCTATGCAAAATCAGATTTTGTTTCGATTTAGAATCATGCATCGCCAGTCCATTTACATATATATATATATATATATATATAATACTGAACGGGCGCTGCAAGAACAGAGAAATAACCTTTCTTTGATATTACTGTTGTTGTAATGGGTCACGGGGGAAAATATTATTGCTCTCCTGTCACCACGACGTGGCAGGGTGCTTCGTCAGTTCGTTGTTCCATTCACTGCTGGAGACGGCCTCTTTGCTGAGGGCTTGAGGCCCTCGGCAAAGGCCCATTAATCCTCGGTAAAGGCTTTGCCGAGGGCGGCTCTCGGCAAAGAGCTCTCGGAGAATTTTGAGTCGGCGAAGAGGGTCTTTGACGAGGGCCCTTTATCGGACACTTGGCAAAGCCTTTGTCGAGGGCTGGACCGGCACTCGGCAAAGAAAAGCAGCCGTCACGATGCTGGCGCCTGGGACGGAGTCTTTGCCGAGGGCCGTCTCCGGGGGCTCTCAGCAAAGAATTATTAATTTTTTTTTGAAAAATCTTTGCCGAGGGCCTCCAACCATGGCCCTCGTCAAAGAAATGTTGCATAATTTTTTCCAAAAAATCTTTGCCGAGGGCAATGGGACGACCCTCGGCAAAGAATTATTCTTTTTTTTTGAAAAATCTTTGCCGAGGGCTTCCCCGCAGGCCCTCGGCAAAGAAATTTTAATTTTTTAAAAAAAAATCTTTGCCGAGGGCCTCCAACCATGTCCCTCGGCAAAGAAATGTTTCAGAATTTTTCCAATGAATCTTTGCCGAGGGCAATGGGACGGCCCTCGGCAAAGGACCCTTCTTTGCCGAGAGCCTTGGTCATTGCCCTCGGCAAAGAGGCAGAAATTTAATTTTTTTTTGTTTTTTGCATTCCATCGACACAAGCATTTCATATATATATACATATATATATCAACCATCACATATATATATCACACAGAACCTATTTTCTCACAATATATCACAACCATAATTATGAACCACAAATCACAATATATTACAACGACAAGTCACATATTCATCATCATTCACATGTTTATTACGACAAGTTCATGAAATCCAAACACAAGTCAGAACCATAAACCACAAATATTACAATAAAGTCCAACCACATCACCTAGCACTAGTCCTCATCAAGGTAGCCTATGAGATGGTGGTGAAGGAAAGGCGGGATCACCCGGTGACGCACTACCGGGATGATTGGAACCCGCGGACGGAGGCTGCACAAAAGAGCAGAGATTACATGTGTGAGTAATCCGGGAAAACAGTTTTGGAACTTAGAGATTGCATCTAGTAATCTAGGAATACAAAAAGATTAGACTCAATTGAAAATTTCGGTAGCACCTCCTCTGCACGGGGAGGTTTCCAAAACCTGCAAGAAACAACGGCACGAACGCCGACATCCACAACGGCACGAACACCGACATACATGCAAAGCACAAACGAAAAGTGAACTTCATACTTACAGGAGTAGCTGCAGGAATAGGGGTGGAGGACTTGCTTGCGCATAGCAATTTGTAGATGGTCAGGCAGGATGTTTGGTGACCGCAAGTTTTGTCACTCTCTAGGAAAGACGGAGTGCAGGGTAATGCAGAAGTGTTCTTTCTTTCAGCTGGACATCATTCAGTGGGCTTTTTGTACTGTATAAAGAGATGGTCGTTCTGGAGGTACAGGATCAACTTGTTACCCGGAGGGCAGGGCCATCATCTGATCAGTCACAAAAGATGGTTCTTTCCCTATCCATCATGCACCCCAAAACATTTACCAGCACATTGGCTGCGACAGGTTGATCGATAAAAGTCACAAGAAGAGGAGTCTTTCGCTATCGATCTTGGACTGAACATTTGGGCTAAGATCCAAAGAAAAACTAGCAGTGTTGATTGTTCAACTGGATGGGTCAGGCTAAGGCTATGCAGTGCTCAACTCAAACTGGAACGTGTTCACTAAGATCAGATGCTGAAAGGAACAATTCTGGAGTGGCGAGAGACTGGACAGCAAGAGTAGTTGAATGAATGCAGGCTCCTGTTTACACAAAAAAGGGGGTTTGTTTGGTAGAGTTTACCTCAAATGTGATCCAGCCGAGTGACACGGCCACCGCGATGATCAAAGCGTTGTTCAACCTCCGGTACATCTCCAGGTTCGCCGTCATTCGTTTTGCCTGCAAGCATTGACAAGTTCCTGCATTTATGATGTTGAAGAATTCTCAAGAAAACAAGCCGAAATGGTCGACCGGAACAAGCTTTGCTCCTCACCTTGAGCTTGTTCAGCGTTTTCGACAGCGAGCTGAATATCCAGTACACGAACACCGCGTTGAGGGCCGCCACAGGGAGCACGAGGAACAGCCTCCTCGTGGGCGACGGCGAGTGGTCGCTCACGGTGCCGACGTTCTCGCTGACCTCGAGCGCCTCCGCGGCGGCGAAGAACGCGGCGCCGAGGCCAGCCACCCTGGCGCTCTTGAGCCCCGCCAGCGCGGGCCGCACCACGCCGTGGCCCATGTGGAGGTGTCTGGGTTTTAGGCATCCGACGTCATAACTTGCTCGAAACCTTCTCAATTTTTTACCATAGCCTACACATGCAATAACTTGACACCTCGACGAGTTTCGTTATTTTCGGACTTCGTATGGATTTTATATAATTTAAAAACACTTTTCTGACAAGTTTCTCGTCATGTTACGTGAAGAAGATGCCCGAAATTTGATGCGAGTTCGTGGATAGGGACTCAACATACACCAAATACCATGAATAACATTTTCCGAATCACTAAATTGCATTATTCCATCCAACTGCAGTTCAAATTTGAAATATTCAAAAAAAATCAACGAAAAGAAATAAATTAGGAAAATATATATAAAAAAGTCAAAATTGGCCCAAAATTTAAAATTGAGTTTTAAATAATGTATTATAGCACCACAAAAAAACTGGGTTCAAAAAACCAAAAAGAAGTATTTGCCGAGGGCCTAGCCTGGCCCTCGACAAAGAAAATTTAAAATAAATAAATAAAAAATCTTTGCCGAGTGCCTTACGGCGGGCACTCGACAAATACTGACGCCAGTGGCCGCCGTGACCCATCCGGCCATACTCGGCAAAGATTTATTTTGCCGAGGGCCGTTTCTTTGCCGAGGGCTCCTGGGGCTGGCCCTCGGCAAATAGAGCATTTGGCGAGTGTCCGAGATTTAGCCTTCGGTAAATCCAGAAGCCCTCGATAAAGGATGGGTTTCCAGTAGTGATCGTTGTTGCCTCAAAAAGCCTCAGGACATCCTTAGAATTCGAACGCAGCAACGTACCGGCCGTCGGTCTTCTGTCTCATCATCATGCGCTCCCCTAGATCCTTCATCCATGTCGAGCCCGAGCTACGTCCCGGACGCGGCAGCAGCTGGCATGGGGCATATCCCCGGGGCCGTAGCTGTCTACGACTTGGCCGCGTTCAAGGGCACACGCCCGGCGCTGACTCACGCCGTCGAGGCCACGTCGTCGTGTTCACGTGCTGTCACCGCTCATAGGCCTGGGCTACTTCGCGGTGTTTGATGGCCGCCGCTGAGCCCGAGGGCCTGCCTAATCCTGCTGTGAGGCACGATCGCGGGGCAGATCGAGAGAGAGCCTTGTGCAGCGAGAACCTGCAGTTTGGTTGGGTGGTGGAGGACGTACGGTCATGCTGCAGGAGCTGTTCCGTCGTCGTCCATGAGGAGGAGGCGCGGTCGCCACACGCCGGACAGCACGTAAGGACCCTGGCGAGAACGCGCCCGCCGCCGCCGTGGCGTATGGCCGTCATCGCACTGGTGTTGGAGAAGCAGGGTTCGTCGTCGCGAAATACGGCCCCTGCATGGCCGCGATATATCTCGCGACCGCGCGGGAGCTCGATCCCTGGAGCTCATCTCCGAGCTCATGCTCGTCAGTGAGCTCCACAAGCTCGGTCGCCGCCGCGGGATATCACGGCCATGTAGGCGTCGTCGTTTGCGATGACGAGTTAGGTCTCAAGCACCGGCACGACGATCGCCGTCGCAGCGGCGGGCGGGTGCGTCCTCGCCACTGGTTCGCCCTGGCTGCAGGCCGGCCGCCACCTCGTCTTGGAGTGCCCGGAACAGCTCCCGCACAGCACCGTCGTCCTCGTCCACCACCCTACCACGTCGTCGCGTGACGTCCCGTCACCGAACCACAGGTTTTCGCCGGACAGCTCTAGGTTGAGCTGCCCCGCGACCGGTCCCGCAGCAGCGCAAGTAGGCGTTCGATCGGGCTCTGCGCCGGCGACCACGCCGAGGTGGCGGCCGTCCAATATTGAGGGTGGAGTAGTCGAGCCCCATGGGCGGCGACAGCACCGTGAACGACGTCGCGGCCGCCACGGTGTCGGTCAGCGCTGGGCGGATGCCCTTGATCGCCACCATGCCGTACGGTAGGTATAGCTCCGGGGACGTGCCCGCGTCCGTCCATCCGGGCCCGGCGCCGCAGCCTCCTCCGGGACGTTACTCGCGCTCGACATGGATGACGGATCTGGCGAATGGACGCTGGCTGCCACGACCAGCTTGACAATTGTGCGCTGAAGAGATCAAACATGCATGTTTTAGTAGCCTATGGCCCAAATTAAAGTGCCATACAGTTCATCTTGTGCTATTCTTATTCGAATCACCACACCAGCGAAAACCCGCCGTTCGATGAGGGAATGTCGCACGACGTGGTTGGGTAGTGGGAGGTCGGTGGTGCAAGAGGCGTTCATGACGAGGACGCGTCCATGACGAGGTGGTCGCCAGCTAGCGTGAACCCAGCGAGGACGTGACGGCCCTCGTCGCGTTGGTTCTCGAGAAGTACGTCGTCGTCGTCGTCGTGCACAAACGGCGGCGGCGACTCCACGGCCGCGTCATCCCGCGACGGCGAGCTCGATCGTGATCCGGCCTGGAGCTAGCTGCGAGCAAATGGTGAAGCAGCTAGCTTTCACCCTGTGCTCAGCAGTTTGCTCGATCCACGCATACGTGCTCGCGGTCGCGGGACGCGGGATAACACCGGCCGGCTTGGAGGCGCCGTGCGTGGTTGCCGACGAGGGACGAGGTACCTCTCGAGCACCAGCGCGATGATGGCCGTCGTGTCCTCGCCGTGTTCAACCTGGCTGGCCGCCACCTCATCATGGACGACGTACTCCCGCGCATGAGATCACCGTCGTCCACCATGCACCCGCCCTACCACGTCGTGTGGCATCCCGTCACCGAACCGCAGGTTGTCGTCGGACGGGCTCTTCGATGGGCAATTGTTCTGCTCGATGTCAATGGGCGAGGCGTGTTCAGTTTTTTATTTTTTTTTTTTGGGGGGAGTTTCAGGCGTGTTCAGATTTCAGAAGCTGCAGCAGGCAGCGTGCACAGAACAAAGCTCGGATCGGTCTGCTAGCGGGCCGCACGTTTTTTTTTTTTTGAGGAAAGCGGGCCGCACGGATGGGTCATGACAGCCAGTCGAGTGGCCCATATAAGCCCACGACACTTCCTCAAAAAAAAAACTAAGCCCACGACACTACACGTACGCAACAGGTCGGTCGCCATGGGCCAGACCGCCCTTCCCCTCGCCGCCGCCTTCCTCGACCTCGTGCGCCTGAGCGTGCTTGTACTCACTCGCGTGCGCCGGCCTTCCTCGACTCCTCGCTGTTTCGGAGCCCAGGGGAAGGCAAACCCGACCGTCCGACCGCGTCGTCTCCCTCCTCGTCTCCTCTCCTCTCCTCTCGCGTCCGCAGCTTCCCTTGCCGGCTAGGGTTTGCAGATGACGACGGCGGCGCGCCCCACCTGGGCGCCGGCCAAGGGCGGCAACGAGCAGGGGGGCACCCGCATCTTCGGCCCCTCCCAGAAGTACTCCTCCCGCGACCTCGCCGCACACACCTCCCTCAAGCCCAGGTATTCTCTCTCCCTTCCATCTACCTCTCTAATCTGGAACTTTCCTCGATTTTTGGGGCCAGGATTTTCGATTTGGGGGCCGATTCCCCGATTAGAGCACCTGCCGTCGGTTTGATGCTAGCACGAGATAATCGCCATGGTCTGTCCGCCTCATACGCCGGTGCCCAACCCTAGCCTTTAGAGTTTCACGCTTGCCACGCTAATTGTCCAGTACAGGATTCTTAATCACGCTCGATAGCCTTTCTGTACGAGGTGTTACCTATTACTGCTTATAAAAAATCGAATTACATTTAGTGCCCGCGTTAATGCTTCAGAATCAGTTTATTTTTAGTGCTGCAAAGTATATTGAAATATCAATAAGAGGTCGTGGTTTTAATTTCTTCCAGCATCATTTTCTTTTCCTGCATCTGTTCGGAGTTGCTTTACTGCTATTACAGCTACCACCACTTCAATAGATTAAGATGCCATTCAGTACAAAGTAATGTCTACCGCCGCTATCTGCTGATGTTGAGGCCGTTTGACTATTCATTTCACTTTACATATTAGTATTTCTATTGGGGGGGTTGGGAGTGGCATGGTTTTCAGTTCGAAAAGGGACAAAAAAAGGTTCTCATTCATGATTGCAAAACATGCCATGCTGATATATTAGTTATAATCTTTGTAAGTACAACATCAAACAGTTGTTTGCAGAGTCTACCAAAATCCGAAGCAGATGGCTGCCTGCTGTTGTTCAGTTGCCATGATCATCTACATATTGCAACCGACATCCAACAGGGCATCTTGCTTCCACAGCATCCACTTTCCACAAGTTTACTGTTAAGATTGTAGTCCAAAAAATGAAGTGGTTGAAGAATTTTGAGAAATAGAACCTGACAGAAATTTCCTTAATCCTAATCCATGTAAACATGTTATATTGTCGGATCCAGTTGCCTAATTAACTATTGACAAACACAAAGCAAATCATTTTAGGGATCCTGACTTGATAACAGGATTCATAGTTAGCTGGCAAGATGCAGGATATGCAGTTCCTAGTTGGTATTTAGGAAAGGTGGATATAGTGTGGTGCATCGGCCATTTCTAAGACTTATCTATTTTTGCATTCATGAGGTGCACAAATTTAATTCACACTCTTTATGCTTGATTTGGTCGAGGGACCTGAAGAAGTGTTCATTATTTTCTTCAACAACCTGTTTTAATATTGCGTTACATGTAGATAGCTGTTCATTTTTAAAGATTCTGGTAAGGCATGCATGTTTTACTACACTGAATTGGTATGGTGTCTCCTAGGAGAATTATACAGTGCTTAATCCCGCTTGTTTAGCTTATCTGTGCCACCTGACCGCTTGCAAACAACAGAATATGCATTTACTTTTGCTCCACCTCCAACGATTTTATGACTGCCACCGTGTATGTAATTTGGATTACATATGCAAATCGAAAAGGGCCAGCGAGTTTCTTATGCAAGGTTGAAGATTTCCCAATATCCAGCTAGTAACTTGAGATTCTATATTGTCTAGGAAAACAAGGCATAAAATATAGATTTTGGTTACATGTCTTATCTGTTGTATAATGTATTATTGTTTTTTTTACTTTGGAGAGGTGATGATTGTGTCAATGTCAACTGTAGTCATTTACGAATCTTAATCTTTGCCTTTGCTTCATTAAGGCAAAGAAAATTTCAGCATCACCAACTTATTGCTTACAAAGATGTATATGTTCCCTGTTAGTATCTGGGAATCACAACTAGCCCCTCAGACATGGTTAAGATATATATTTCCGCTGGCTGTGTATTTTTGTTGCGAATATGTCAGGCTCAGGTTTGTCCCTCCATAACTCACTATTTTTGCCCATTTGTACAGAAAAGACGGTCAACAGACCCAAGAGGAGTTACAGAAGAGGAACCTCAGGGAGGAACTTGAGGAACGCGAGGGCAAGCACTACTCTTCCAAGGATAAGTCCTATGCTGGTACACCTACTTTCTCTGTCTCGTTCTTTTGTTTTCTCCCTTCAGGATAAGTTTCTGACTGATATGTACAATAAGTAACAATGTGTATCTTCTTGCCTGCAGAAGAAAGAGACCGGCGGAAAAACTCAAGCCAGCTACTCTTAGAAGGTTGGTGGAACAAACACAGCAAAATATCTGTTTATGTTGTGGCTTAGTGGTGACTTATTCCTTTCTTGTTGTAACTCATAGGTTCAAAGAGAGAGGCAGAGGATAAGATAGTTCCACGAGAAATCGATGCAGATGACTCTGATGTGGAGCCTAAAAGTGATGATGAGAGGTCTGTACCATTGTCCTTCTCAGTGATGAGTGTTTTATGAACCCTACTCTTCTGAAATGCTGCTAGGATTATTCTTTTGTTAGCAGGATGAACTTGACTTGCAACTGCATTAACTATTTTCTAGAATGGTTTCAATTTTTTTCCTGTGTCACCTTCAATAAAAATTTGTATAGCCACAAGGCTACTCACTTCTGGGATAGTGGTTCGTATACACACAAGGCTACTCACTTCTGGAGTAGTGGTTGTTATCCATTATTGCGCATTGCCTAGCATAGTAGCACGTTTTGTTTCCTTTGATAAGGCTGCCTTCACTTCAAATGTGCACAGAAGATAAGGCAACATTCTTGACATTTTTTAGGCAAATATCTTATTTCGGTTTACCACTTCACTATGCTTGGTTGCTCTTACACATTGAATGCCAAATTGTGTTCAGCGATGAAGATGATGATGACGACGACGACACTGAAGCTCTAATGGCAGAGCTTGAGAGGATTAAGAAAGAAAGAGCTGAGGAGAAGCTTAGAAAGGTTTGTTATCTTTGCATCTTTGTCGTTGTGTCATGATTTTATGTTTTTGTACATTTGGATTATGGGAACATAACAAGAATTGTTCCATTCAGGAGCGGCAACAAGCAGAAGAGGAGGCCAACATGAAGGAGGCTGAACTGATGCGGGGAAACCCTTTGATTAATATCAACAATCCTGGCTCCTTCAGTGTTAAGAGAAGGTGGGACGATGATGTGGTTTTCAAGAACCAAGCACGTGGAGAGACCAAGACACCGAAACGGTTCATCAACGATACCATCAGGAGTGATTTCCACCGTAAATTTCTTCAGAGGTACATGAAGTGATGGTACCGCCGTGTACAACTTTGATGTCTCCGCGCCTTGTATGGCAGAGCACAAGTTGAGAGTTCTTATCGTTGTTATGTTTGTGTACGAGTGAATGACCAGCAGAGCATTGGTTCAGTTGAGAGCTCTCATCGTGTTATGTTTGTGTACGAGTGAGGCCATTATTGTGTTGCTGTATTATGAAACAAAAGTATAAACATCTGTTGGCATCTTAACAAAGCTATACTGAGCAATACATATCTTATCTGAATGTGCCAAGGTCATATTTTTCTATATTGATTTGATGATATTTGATTGAAATCATATTTAAGTCTGATGTATAGGAGAATATGAGTTTGATTGAAATCTATTTTTCTATCTTAGTGGCGCGGGCAGATTAATTGTGATTTAGGCCTCATGTGATACGATTAGTAAGTGTAGGGACTTGGATGTCCAGTTTAGAAGTTTGGGACGGCATCCTCAAGTTATTGTGAGATGGCATCCTCAAGTTATTGTGAGATGACCTCACATTGTACGATTAGGCACTTATAGTATTTGGACCTCACATTATACGGACTTACTGTTATTTGGACTCACATTATACGATTAGGGACTTTAGAAGTTAAACTTGTGATTTAGACCTCACGTTATACCATTAGGGACTTAAAGTTTCAGAACCTGAATGACACCCCAAGTCATGTTTGAAGATAAGAGCAACTCCAGCAATGACTCTCGAAATAGGACCCCTACTTTTTATTTAAGGACTTTTCCTACTTTTGAAGACCTTATTTTTTTAGATGTCCTAGCAGTGGTCCATAAAATAGAGCCATCAAATTCATTCCAATAGCTAGGTCCTACTTGTCATTGACTTTCTCGGCCAAAAGGCTAGGGATCGGATTGAGAGGAAGAGCATAGCACCAGGAGCCGCGCGGAGGTCGCTTGCTGAGAGCTCCATCTAGTCTGAGTACCACGGGAGGGAGTGGATTCCAGGCAATGGGACCTCACGGCTTCTTCTCCGATGCGCACGCGAGGAGGAGAGGAGGCCGTAGCACTTCTTCGGTGGCCGTGCTAAGAGAGGAAGATGTCGTGCTACGGCTTCGTCTCCGGCCAAGAGCCGGCGAGGAGGTTGGATCTAGAGGCGGTAGGGGAGGCGGCGTGCACGAGCGGGGAAGCGGCGCACGAGTGGGTTTATGTGGCGTGGGAGGAGAAGTGCGCATGAAAATTGTAGAAACGAACTTTTGAAGGATTGGTTTACAGCCCTAGGAACGAGGGGTGGGAGGAGGATTTGAGGGTTGTATCAGAGTCCCGTTCGAGTGCACTTTTTTTTTTTTTGCCTCTAAGCCCTTAAACAGTATAACGAAGGCTCGGTTAGGCCTGGAGGCTGGAGCCCAAATCCATTCTGACGATCGTTCACTGATTTTTTTTTTTTTTTTGCCAGCGAACGATTCGACCGAGTCTGCATGCGGGACGTCTGCACCTGCCCCCACGTCACTTTTAAAAAAACGAATCATTTATTTTAAAATGCTATAACTTCTAAATGGTATATCTATTTTCAATTTCGTCTGCACCGGCCTGTTCTACGCGACGACACAAACAAAACTAGATCCTATTTACATATATTTTAAAGAATTTGTTTTCTAATAGCAATTTATATATATTAACTTATAACATAGAACTTATAACTTACAATATAAGTTATACATATATGTTACGTTACACAACTTATTTCTATAACTTATACTGATAACTTAGACAATATAACATTTTGCATAATAAAACTTACCACCATATAACTTATAACATCAACTTATACCGTATAACTTATAATTTATGTCAAAACTTAAAAACACAAAAGTTATGAAACACAACTAAGTTGTATAGAACAACTTATGTATATAAGTTGTATTTGATAACTTTTTGTAGATAAGTTGTATTTTATAATTTTTTGTGTTTCTAAGTTTTGGTTATAAGTTATATGTAATAAGTTATGTGTTATAAGTTAGTTTGCTATTAGAAAAATTCTTCAAAACATATATAAATGGGGTCTAGTTTTGTTTGTCTCGTCGGGTAGAACGCACCGGTGCAGACGGAATCGAAAATGGATACACCGTTCAGAACTTATAACATTTTAAAATAAATATTTTGCGTGAGTCCAACGTACAGTTGAAATTGAGCACGGGAAAAGAGGACGAAGTATACGCGCCACTATTCAATTAAGGTCCATGCGTAAATTATTCTTTTCTGAAAAGGTGCCGCCTGTCGGAAAGGTGTTTGCTCGTTTCACCATGGATGAACGTTCCTCTATAAGAGGCGCAAACTCAGAGCAGGGGCCATCAACAAAGATATCGTTTCAAACTCGATGAGCCGTTGGATTTGGAAGGTTGTTTCCTGAGCTACGCTGCGGCTATTGGAAAGCGAGTCAAAGTGCTGATAGAGAGTGGCAATTGGAAAGCGAGTCAAAGTGCTGATCGAGAATAGAAATCTTGGTAAACCAATCAGTGACTGTGACTTCAAGTGAACAAAATTCCCACCAGTATGCAAATAGTACAAACTTAGCCACTGAAGAAAACTTCTTGGGTTCAAATGGCCAAACATCTGCACAACAAAGCTACATGCAAGAAAAGAACAAAGGGGCCATTCGCTGGTCTGGTCCAGACCAGCCAGCCGGCTGCTTCCCCTCTCAAGTTACTGTTCACCAAACCAGCCGAACAGTGTTTTTTTCTCACAACAAACCAGTCGGAACAGTATTTTTCAGCCAAGTTTTAGACCAGCGAATGGAGCCAAAGAAGAGATCAAACCGCTGCGCATCTATCCAAACCCAGTATTTTCAGAATCTCAAATTCCAACATGTTGTATTTGTAGCATACAATTCATCTTACTATTCCAATTCCAATCACCACAAGCGTCACACTATAGCTGCTAGTGGATTGCTTAGCTTTTATATTAACGGACAATGAGGATGACCGAGATTGTTACTAGCCCCATCACTCGTTGCCCCTTTTTGTAACCTAACAAACATTTATTTCACTCGTTCCACACAAACACACACAGGGGCACTCGCTACTTCGGGTGCCGTCTCAGAGGAGCTTGTAGCCGGTGACCCAGACGTCGGCCGGGGGCGTGGCCTGGACGTACACGAACGAGGCGCTCTTGCCGGCGGGCAGCGACGCCAGCCAGCTCGGGAACACGTAGCCGTACCGCGCCTTGTCGACGCCCCACACCTGGCCGTAGAGCTTGGAGATGCCGATGTGGAGCTCGTGGACGGTCTTGAGCGACCTGTTGGTAACCGTCACCGCGTACCGGTGGTGCGTCTTGCCCCGCTCCATCCACGACGCCGTCGCGTTCTGCTCGATCTCAATTGGCGACTCTGACGCGTGTTCAGAAGCTGCAGCAGCATGCACAGAACGAAGCTCGGATCAGTAAAGAAAAAATCTCGAGAACGGCGATGTGCAGCCAGATGACAAGTATGTTCATGCAGTTACTGCAAAAAAGATTCAAGAAGTAGAAAATGTTCAGCGATTACCCGGAGAAGGAGATGGCAGTGAGGTCCCGTTGGCGCCATTAATGGCCGTGGAGGAAGAAACTTCTGCAGGCAAAGAAACAGACCGATCGATTCAGCTAATTTTAGTTTTTGTCTACAAAGATCTTGGGCGCAGCGCAGACACAATGCTCATCAGAAATTCAGAATGCATGAATGGTAAGATAGTTACCATCGGCGGCGACAGAGTGGTGAGCAAACCGGCCGCCGCCGTGACCGGCGGCCAATCGAGCGAGCACGCCCATGAGCGGCGCGTTGTTGTATGTGGTGGCCTCCGTCTGCTCGTAGTTATCCCTCTCGTCGGCGAAGTTGTCGTACTCGTCGGGTCCGCCGACGGTGGCGCCGTCGAGCAGGTTGGGGTTGGCGGCGCCGCGGTGGTACCAGCTGCTGTACCCGGCCTGGCAGCTGACGAACGAGGGGTTGGCCTTGACGGACACGATGGAGGAGCCGCGGTGGTGCGCCTGCCGCGGGTACGTGGCGCCGTACCCGACCATGTAGCTCGTCGCCCTCGGGTTGCTGCCCAGGATGTAGTCCACCTGGGACCTGGCGAAGTCCAGCAGCTCCGACGGCTGCGCGGACGACCCGCCGTTGTCCGGGCACTGCGCGGCCTGCCCGGCCGCGGCGAGGTGGTCGGCGTAGGCGGCGAGGAGGAACGCGGCGCTGGTCACGAACTGCACGTTGTTCCAGCTCTGGTGGTAGACCATGCCGCCGGGCGTCCGGGGCACGCTGTTGGCGCCGCCCCTGCCGAGGCAGGAGCACGCGAACAGGTCCGCCTTCTGCTTGTACCGCCGCAGCACGTCGGCGTGGGCGTTGTTGCCACGCCGCAGGAGGAACATGGCGGCCAGGACCTGCACGCCGGGGTACTTGACGTCCCAGCCGAACTGGTTGATGGACCAGCCAGTGCCGCCCAGCGCGTCGGCGTTGGTGGCCAGGTAGTCCAGGTACCGCGACTCGCCGGTCGCCTCGTGCAGCCACGCCGCCGCCCACAGCAGCTCGTCCCCGTACCCGCTCGACGACGCGTAGTACTTGCGCACCACCGTGATGCTGCTGTCGTACCGCCCCCGGTACTTGTCGGCGAAATCGAACAGCTACGGACATGATGCTCATCGTGTTCGTCAACAATCTTGGAGAAGATGCATGCAAGCAATCGTACAATGCATGTCGATCCAGGTCTCCGCCATACGTACGTACCTGCTTGGAGTGCTGGAGGAGAGTGTTGGCGTAGCCGGGGTTGGAGCCGCGGAACACGAGCGAGGCCGCCGCCATTGCTGCAGCGGTCTCCCCGGCGAGTTCGGACCCGGGGTTCTGGGGGTCAAGGCGGTAGGCCTGACGGCTCGTCGTCATGTCCTCCGGCCGCATCCAGCAATCGTGGTCCGAGTCACCATCGCCGACCTGCATGCATGCGACAGATCATCAGGAATCATGTACAGTCTTCTCTTAACGACCGCCTTGTTTAGTTGGACACCAAAGTCTAAAAAGATGCTACAGTACCTGTCACATCGAATGTTTGTGGCCTGTGCATGGAGCATTAAATGTAGACGAAAATAAAAACTAATTACACAGTTTGGTGTGAAATTGTGAGACGAACGTTTTGAGCCTAATTAGTCCATATTTGAACACTATTTACCAAATAAAAACGAACGTGCTACAGTAGCCCCAAAATCCAAATTCACCTCCACTAAACAGGGGCCAAGTTTAAAGTTTAAATCCAACGACTAGTTCAATGTGTATGCATGCATGCAGGGTGCAAGCAGAGCGTGACGTGGCGGCCAGGCGGCCAGGCGGCGTGTAGCGGAACCAACCAACCGAGAAGAGAACCGACCTCTCCGTACAGCACGTTGGGCTCTGGGTGCGCCTTGACCAGGTAGTCCGTGCCCCACTTGATGGCCTCAACGGCGTGGCCGAGCTCGCCGGCCGCCGCCATCTGGTTGCCGTACTCGAGGACGCTCCAAGACATCATGGTCACAGTGAACGCCATCGGCAGGCCGAACTTGACGTTGTCGCCGGCGTCGTAGTAGCCGCCCACCAGATCCACCTGGACCAAAACAAAAAACAAAAAAAAACGCAGGTGTAATCCATCGCAAATGCCGGTTTTAGTATCCATGTATGTAGTCGAGATATATATAGAAAATGCTGATTTGTTTCCAAATTAAATGCCAAAAAAAAATGCGGGACGTGCATGCGCACGCAAAGATGGTAAGTATCCAAGAACAAGGAGAGCAGGTTGGGGTCTGGGGTCCGTGACGCGTACCCCGTTGGCCTTGCCGTCGAGGAGGCCGGAGTCGGCGCGCCAGGCCACCCTCTGGCTGCCGGGGAGCCGCCCGGACCGCTGCGCCTCGAAGTAGAGGATGCTCTTGCTCAGCGCCTGGCGGTAGTCGTGCCCGGCGGCAGCCGACGCCACTTGCGTCGCGGCGGCGAGCGCCATGGCGAGGCCAGCAAGGACGACGGCCATGGAGTAGGCCAGCGCGCCGCGCGCTCCGCCGCCTCCTCCTCCCCTGGCCATGTCCGAGAGCCCAGACGCTAGACGAGAAAGGAAGGAAGGAACGGCGCAATGGGTGATCTCCGCTTTGGGTGGAAGCTGTGGAGGCCGACGAGGGCGTATTTATAGCAGCGTTGGGGAAGAAGCCGAGAGGCCGACGATGAAGCGAGGAAAGGAAATTTTGTTGCAATCACAAGGCAAGGCTGACCGTATCTGCTGTGCTCCTGGACTCCTGGTTTCAGGGAACTTTGCATCAGTCCCGGGCTACTCATCCGCTTGTCATTTGCTTGCTGTGATCCTTCCAAAATCTTTGGCAGACGGTTGGTTGTGCAAAACAAGACAACGGCTAACTGTGCTGAACTCCTGCGATTCACAGCCTATTCGTTTCGTCGTATACGATCGTGGATTATAAGCTGAGACAATATTTTTCTCTCACACCAAACCAGCCAGTAGTAAATAATCCACGATCTTGGGCGAAACTTGCAAGTGAAAGCCACGCCTGACCGCCATTTACGGCCGTAGAATGCGCCCTGCTGCGCTCAACTCATCAATCCTAACGTTACCTTTTCAAATAAAAAAAATCCTAACGTTAAAAGCAAAAGATTTTTTTTTAAACGTTGGGAATTGGGATAGGCCGCCGAGTTATGAGTGGCAACGGTAAAAACTTTTTTTTTCGCCGGGTAATTAAAAGCTTAACGTTAGGGACGATTACGAATTCTCGACCACTCGTCTGAAGTTAGCGCCGGTTGGAAACACAGTAAGATCTTGTAACCGGTTTTTTGCATTTTCTGGTTGATCTGTCAGATAAACCTGAGCTCGTCCGTCTGAACTGAACGTAGCTAAGGCAAAAGCTAAGCTAGAAGAGTAATGGAACGGAGTGATGGCCATGTGCTTCTTCTGAGCTTCTTTGCCAAGTCCATTTATGAGAAACTGATGAAACTTTCCGACTGGAACGGCAGTTGCAGAGGGGATCAGAATCATCAGAAGCCAGAGGCCGTTTCTCTGAGCTCTGGAAGACCGAAACGGAAGGGAGAACGCGGCGACGACAGGACTTTGGTCTTGGTCCACACTTGGCTGCATAATTCCTGTGTCTTCACTCACTGTTTGACGCCCGGCCTGGCTCCAAGAACCAACAACTATTCCTGGTGGTCTGGGGATATGGGAGCGTATTTCGAGAACCTATATATAAACCTTCGTATATCTTATCTATTCAATAAACAGAGAGAACCTGCATCTGCATGTGAAGTGAAGTAAGCTACAGCCTACAAAGTGATCTTGTTTGCAGACATCCTGAAGTCTGAATTTCCAACTCTCGCTTGGTTTCGTGAACACTTCTCTTCTTTTTAATACATTTTCGCATACAAGGAAATAGTTCCGTGAACAGGTGGACCAAATCAAATCAAACCAAGGCCCTTGCCCTTGGAGATTTTTTTTTATTTTAACACTTTTTGTAAAATAATTTAAAATCTAACACTGTTTTTTTTAACTAACACTTTTGGCCGCGCCTATTGTCATGGCGCGGCGAAATGCCTGTGCCGCGCCATGCATGGTGGCGCGGCAGGAGGGTGACATGGCGAAGACCGAGGCCGCTGATCGGTGACGTGGCAGGGTTTGCCGCGCCACCGATCTTGGCGCGGCACTGACGTGCCACGGAGCATGGCGCGGCAGGATCAGATAAATATTGCCCGCGAACCGCCCCTGCCCTCGAGCCGCCCGCCCTGCCTCTGCCCGAAGCGCCGCCGCCGCCGCGCCCGCAGCGCCTGTCGCCGCGGTGCCTGCACGCCGACCACCGCGCCTGCCCGCCCGGCCGGCCGGCCAGCCGCATGCGCCCACCCACTCCGGCCACGCCACGAACGCTGGCGCGTCACGGCCACCGCCCGCCCGCCCACTCATATCAAGGTAGGCTCTCTCGATTGCATGTTATTATAATTATTATTTTAGTTAGGGTTAGTGATTTAGGATAGTTAGGTTAGTGAATTTGTTAGGATTTGTTAGTGATTTAGGATGGTGATTTAGAATTTGTTAGGATAGTGATTTAGGATAGTTAAGGTTTGGTTAGGTAGTTAGGGTTTATGGATTGATTTTGGGTTTAGGTTAGGTAGTTTTGGTTAGGTAGTTAGGGTTTAGGTTACTGTTAGTTAGGATTTTGGGTTTAGGGATTGATTGACGGTACTTAGTAGTGCGTGATACGGTGATTTGGATGACTTGATGAAGTTTCGTCAAATACTTATTTTTCTAGTGAGTTGTTTAATATGTCTGTTAATGTTATTTTAAATATATACATGTTCTTTCATATTGTGTTCGTATTGCATAACAAGTAGTTCAAATTTTGCAATGCTACATAATGTTAATCTGAATATTGTTAATCTGAATACTCTAACTCTTTGTTTATCAATTTGTAACAGGATGGCCCCTCCCACGCAGCACCCGTTGTATCCCATTTTTGAGGTGGAGTACGACGACCATCACCGAGCACACATCTTGAGTGACACCGACGCACAGGTGGCCTTGCCTACTTTGAGGCCTCGCACGCACACCAGGGCGCACCAGTGGGACGAGCGTTACGCGCCGTATATACGGCATGCCGGCTTCCTCGAGCTTGTCCGTGTTGTCAACTACGGTGACCCAACACTACTTACTGCAATTGTAGACAGGTGCGAGTGCCTTTTTTGTATATAAACATTCTTATAACAAATTTGAGGCAACTAACAGTCGTTCTATTCTTATAACAGGTGGAGGCCTTAGACCCACACGTTCCACCTACTTTGCGGCGATATGACATTGACCATGCAGGACGTGAAGGCTATCTTTGGCCTTCGGTTGGGGGACTTCTCGTAATAGGGATAGTTGACAACGATCACTGGAGGGAGCTGGTGGCTCAGTTCACAGGCTTTCTTCCACCGGACGACGAGGCTTCCAAGAAAAATAAGTGAGCAATTCAAGCCTATTTAATACTTGCATTGCTTTCCTGCAGTCATCGGGTCTCATTTTCTTTGGTCAATTTTAGGAAAAGTTCTGGTGTTTCGTGGTCCTGGATCACAGAGCGCTTTGAATACTTAGACCCACAGGCTGAGGAGGCTCAAATCGACAGGTTCGCGAGAGTGTGGCTCTGACACTTCCTTGGTGCTTTCCTCTTCCTAGACGCATTTGGCAGCACCATCAGCTGGATCTTCCTTGACATACTACGCCAGCCGTGGGAGAACATAGCGGCGTACAGCTGGGGCAGCGCAGTCCTAGCATGGACGTATCGACAGCTATGCGTTGCCTGCCGTCGCACCTCAGGGTATGCGAACCTTGGGGGTTGCTCCTACCTACTACAGGTTTGGTGTTGGGAACGATGGCCCGTTGGGAGGCCCATTAATACTGGTTTACCGGTAAGTACTTCGGTTCACTATATTCTTCGAGGCAGTTACATATGATAAAATTATTAATGGCTAATTCATTATCGTGTTCAATGCAGCAATGGAATGGGCAGGATACACTCCCTACAGCTTTGTATATCTAGACGGAAGCAGAGTTAGTTAGAGGGAATACAAGGCGCAAGTACAGGGAGTACACGGACGGTCTCGACGTCCTGACACAGCACCAGGTTACGCTCTCTTTACTATCATACATGTGTCTTATTCGATGTACACTATATCACAACCTAACTCAATTACAAAATATTCAGGTGCATTGGTGTCCTTGGGATGCTTCGGAGCTCGAGTACTATCTGAGTCCTGTCACTAGGGACGAGTCAGACGAGTATCGCTGCAATGTTCCTCTTATTTTCTTCTACGTGGTCGAGATTCACTTGTCCATCAGGGTTTGCAGACAGTTTGGAAGAATGACAAGCTGTCCACCACCGCTTTACTCTACCAACCAAGGATTGCACGGGTGCATTATCGATTAATAACAAAGCTATAATTTAGAGGTCTGTGTGGTACAACTAACATCGTTTGTTGCAGGTATGACCGCAGAAAGAGATACAAGACCAAGGATTGGCGCGTGACACACAATGTGCACATCCACTTGTGGGAGACCAGAGAACGACAGCCGGTCCATGCGGGCCCTCCACACGACCAGCACATCTTCGACGAGTACTTGCGGTGGCTTCACAGGTGTACGAGGACACATATCAAGCCCCCGTACACTGAGGAGGTGATTGACGAGGACTCGAAGGAAGATGTGATCGAAGATGTGTACGACGTTGCCACTAGGGAGGACACACAACTACAGAGAGCCCCGCTTCAAAGATACGTGATAAGATACTTGAATGGTACAATTTGTTATCCTTTTGGTATTAAGTATGCGTACTAAAACTGTCCAACCGCGTCTCTGTACCCAGGTGACACAATTGTCAAGGATGTCCAACGAAGCAGTGTTTCGGCTTCACGAGTCTAGAGGGCAGGGACCAGGCGTTCTCGAGACTTTTGTGGAGGTAAACATAAACTTGTCCGTTCTAAAAATGTTTCTTTATTATATATGCATTTGGAAAATACACTAACTTTAACGTCTATTTATGCAGAAGGTGAAGAAGAGCTGCAGGAAGCTAGCTCAGAAGCTGAGCTGCATGGACACTCCTTATGTGGAATCGCCACTCCTGGCACGGTCGGGTGGCACGTCTTCAGCCTCTTTGAGGACACCAGCCGGCTCTTCTCAGCCGGTGGCAGGTGCCGCTTCCGTAGTGCATACACCACGACATCATAGCGCTGGGAAGGACCCTGCAACCGAGGACGACGATGACAACGACGTCGACCCCCCGGGCTTCCGTAGACAGCACGGCCAGTGGGACGATTGGCCGTAGGACGAGATCGGCATGTCTCAGCTAGATGGTGCCCCGCTTGGTACCTAAGGAGCCCCACATGTACTAACAAAGATAGTTTCTTTAAATACGTAGGAATACCATGAACTAACGATCATAAAGATTATAAGTAATCGTGCATATCATATACTTGCAGGGTACGAGCCGTACGCAACAGCGACGCGACCACACTGACGTTGGCTACACTCCCAATGTGTTGCCAATAAATCCGAAGAGACAGAGACGTCCGAGGGATCCTTACACTCCTGGGTCTTAGTTTGTTAGGTCGAACGAATATTGGCGTTCGAAACTTGCAGGCTTAGTTGGTTATGTTATGTCGAACTTATGTCAAACCAATGAAAATTTTATGTTGCAGCTTGTCAACTTGCGCATGGACTCCATTTATTTGCTTCATATTCGTTTCAATGCGTCGCGGCAGCACTGTCGGCGAGATTAAGTAGCAACTAGTTCGGAAACCGGCAGTCCCGACGTATCTTGACGCCGGTGGTCGACGTCTTGACCCCGATCCTCCCGAGCTTGGTCATCGCCGCCACGAAATCGTTGAAGAAGGCACTCTAGTTAGACGCGCAGTAGTCGACCGTGCTGCGCGACCCCATGTCGGACTAGAGCACCTGGTCGGAGCCCACCAAGAAAAGGGTCGACGAAGCCGGTATCCATGGTCCATGATCGTGTCGTTGCCGATCCTCAACCAAAAGCAGTCGATCTTCTGTCTGCGCCCAGGTTCTGCCGCGCCATGTGCCGTGGCGCGTCAGTGCCACGTCAAGATCGGTGGCGCGGCAAACCCTGCCACGTCACCGGTCAGCGGCCCCGGTCTTCGCCACGTCACCCTCCTGTCGCGCCACCATGCATGGCGCGGCACAGACATTTCGCCGTGCCATGACAATAGGCGCCGCCAAAAGTGTTAGTTTAAAAAAAACAGTATTAGATTTAAAATTATTTTATAAAAAGTGTTAAAATTAAAAAAAAATCTCCTTAGGCCCTGGCCTGGGTTTCGCCCGCAGGGTGAGAGTGTCCCTGCATCTGCATTTGGAAACCACGATTCAGTCCCTCCCTGTCTCCGTCAGAAAGCGCCCGCTGAAGCTACATACGTAGATAGATTAGATAGAAGTAGAAGCAGCGGTAACATGGCAACATCGTGGAGTCGTCACCTCCATTTCTTCCGCGGATGGGTGGGTTGACCATGTTGCTTCCGCCTGCGGCCTGCCTGAATCGCGCTGCGGACCTGCAGCGATTCCTGCAGGCGCGCGGCCGGCACAAGAGATGGAAACGTGCAGAGGAAAATCTTTTACGGCGCGCGAGCGCAGGCGCGACGCGAGGCGTGCAGCCCGGCGGACAAGGCCCCGGTAGCGCGCGCAAGGTGCCAGTACGCCACGCCAGGTGAGGTGAAAAACAGCCTCGCGCTGCAAGTGCCAAGTGCCACTGCCATTGCCCTGGCTAAAAGTACCGTTGACTGATTTATTGTAAGAGAAAAATACTAATCATTAGCTGAAAAAGTACGGCTTATAAACCAAACGAACAGAGCGCATGACATCCGTTGCGTGCTCGCCTGCCTGCTCCGTAGACCGTAAGTAACACGTCGTACTCGTGCCGCCCTGCGGATTCTTATCTTCGAAAACACGTCGCAGTCCTGATGACCTCCGGATATATATGTATCTGCGGCACGTGACCTGGCGAGAGAAGGCCGCCCGTGGCTGAGCTACGGCATGACGAGATGCAGATGCTGATCCATGGAGTGACACTGACGGTGGCCTGTTATAGACATGAGAAATGTCACTGGCTACTGAGAGCGTCCGGACGTCGGAGAGGAAGTGCACGTGACCTCCCCCTCGGCCCTCGCTACGTTGCACCGGCGTGCCCGGCCGGTTCACATGTCAGTTTCGCAATCCCGTGCGTCCGCGCGTGGTGTCTGGAATTTTCAACTCCGGATGTAGCGCCCGGAAGCAGGCAGGCCTGGTTTTCTGGTGCGGCTGCATGCCCAGTGGAGAATTGCTGAGGCATGCAGCTCCTGCTCCTCGCAGAGCAGCTGAATGAACGGGTGCTCTGCATGCGGTTCTTCTGCCGCACATCGGTCCCATCAGTCGATGTAGAAGTAGCAGTGACCTCTGAACAGTGAGATCGACACTGAAATATATTGCTGCCATTTCGATTTTCAGTCGGAAATAATGTTTTTCTCTCACACCAAACCAGCCCGCAGTAAATAATCCACGATACGATATGACATCCCGAACAAGCTGCTAGCTGCCAGTACTGTGCTGTGACGAGAGCAGCCGTTGACGCTGGGCTCGCCGGCTCGGACAGACAAACCAAATCCCCCCTGATTTGGGCCGTTGGGCGCAAGCTGCCAGCCGAGCCCGCCCCAACCTTCCAAAAACTAAACGGCCGCATCAGGCCGCCGCCGCGGGCAGCACGGCGCCGCGTCCGGACTCCAGATCACCCGGAGCCCCGTGGTGGTCGGCCATGATTTCTGCTGCGGCCTGCGGCGCGCGCCCGATTCACGCGCGTACGCGTACTCTAGCGCCGCCCGCCCGCCGTAAACGGACCGGACGCACGCATCTGTCCTATCCTGTCCACTCCCGCCACGGCCCACGGCCTTGCTTGGTTGGTTCCAGGGAACCAGAAACGCCCACGCGCTTTGCTCCTCCGTCTCTGAACTGGAGCGATTTCTGAAGCATACCATAGAGAGCAGGTGCATTCAAAAACCTGCCAGTCTGAGAATCGATTGTTCTCTTTCTTTCAGGATGGATATGAATATGATGATGATGATCTGGTGGTGCTGCACAAGTGGGGGTGGGGAGTAGAGTACAGCGCATGGAACACACCCAAGAGGCTGGGAACAATCACACCATATGACCTACCGATGCCATGATAAACCTGCCGCTGCATACTCAGCTTATATAAGCCTTGCAGCTGACGTGTTCAAACCTGAAACAAAATCGCACCGAAAAAAAAAAACCTTGCGGCAGCTAGTTCATCCGACCGGCAGTCGCCAGGACAAGAGTCCGGTAGTAGCTAGAGAAGCACAAACACCACACATCTTTGAAGTTTGAGGCTTTGAGCAACCACGGCCTCCTCGTTTTTTGCCAACAAATGGTTACACCAAACAAGTCCAATTTTCAGCTCAAACCCATCACTGTTTCAGGTTAGCATTTCGTTTGTATTTGTTAATAATTGTCCAATCGTTGTCTAATTAGGCTCAAAACGTTTGTCTCGCAAACTACAACCAAACTGTGTAATTAGTTTTTGATTTCGTCAACATTTAGGACTCCATACATGTACCACAAGTTTAATGTGATGGAGAATCTTTTTTTTGCATAGTGACAGTTTTGATTTTGGGGTAACTAAACGAGCCCCAAAACCACAAGCTACACCACTACGGTGCACAAAATGCAAGACAAATCAAGAGGCAGGTGCCAAAGGAGTGAATCCGTACCTACTGTTTACTTATGCAGTAGCAAAGTTCCTGTAGTTTCAGAGTCACCAGCTGTGAGCTTTGCATCCAGCAATTCCTAGCCAACAACACTACTATCTGTCCATCCCGGCTACTTATTCCAAAGAATTAGGATTTTAATTAACCGCTACAAAATTCTTTAGCGGCAGAGGCCCAATTACCGGATCACCGCACAGGGGCGCGCGAGCCAAATACACAGTTAGATTTGCCGCGGCATCGCAGCAGGCTTACACTACATGAGAGCAGCAGCAAGCTTACACTACATGAGATGAGATGACAGCCCTGCCTGCTGAACCTGAATGCATGGGGCGTCGTCTAAGAAACTAGCTTCGCTATGATCTCTCTTCGTCTGACGGAGACCCGTTGATGGCGTCAGCAAAATATTCGACTGCAACAAGGAATTGACATGCACACTGACGAGTCAGCAGGGTTGCTACACTGTTGAATGAGATACATACATCGGATGAGAATCACGGTTACCTATATCATCTTGGTCTGGGGAATCAAGCAAAATGTCCGAATCTGAAGGCAGGAAAGGGGTGCCAGTGTAGTTCTCCAGCACGTCCAAATCTGCTGTGAATAGGAGCAGATATTTCATTTATCAGAGGGGGATACAAGTGTGCACACAAAGGAATTGCTACTACCAGAATGCTGATTGGGCCATAATCTTCTGGAAAAAAGATCGTTACTGAAGTATTCAGCACACTAGATGTGTGGGTTTAGGATTCTACCAATAACATATGTACTGCATGAAAACAATAATGCACCTTTACAATATACAAATGCATTTATAACAGCCTATTTCTGCTTTCCTTCTCTTTCTTGACGCACAAATGTACAAATGTATTTATTTACTACATAAGCAGCACTACATTATCCAATCAAAGTAGAGTATATATATCTTTTAGGTTATGCAATAAGTTAATTTTAGTCCCTTGAAGCATGGCTGGAGTCCGCATAACCCCCATGTTATATTAAACTGGGCCATTTTTGACATTTTGCTCCTAACCGCTTCCCACCTTTGCTAACATGGATGTAAGTCTGCATGGTTTTCCCAACAAAATCAACCTGTATCAATGACTATACTCTTATATCGTTCTAACGGCTTCTACTCACTGTTCCTTGGCTTGAAGTTGTGCTGCAAGGTCAACAGTCACACAACTTCGTGGATGGCACAATGACCTAGTACAGAAAACAGGTACTTGGTGTTCTACATAATTTCCTTCAATGTAATGCCTGAATGAATTTTAAAACAAGAAAAATCTCTTCTTAAATCTAACCAGGTCATTTTGGGCCAATATCAATGAACTATTAGTTTTGAATCTAATATCAGTAATGCTAACTTCATAAATTCAATGATTTCAGTGCTGATTAACCAAAAAAACAAAAGGTAAATTTCTCAACCGAGAAGGTTTACCTCCCAAACTCGTCAAATCTGCTGTTAGATCAGAGAGGCTGAAATTCCAGAGCTGCCCTAAGGATCTAATAGAGTCTCTTGATGAGCCATCTGGTCCTAATTGCAGAGATCCAGGATTCCCCACATCAGATCCAAATGCCGAGTCTAGGGCTGATACATCCATGGTCATGCCTGGTATCTCTGATGGCATAAAAGGAGCATGGTTGCTTGAAGCCGCTGATGAGGGACTCACAGCCATCTCAGATGACATAGCACTACCCGTAGCACCAGCATGTGGTGCTTCAGGTGCTCCACTGTCCACAACCATGCTGCAGCAACATAAGAGCACACCATAAGGGTCAATAGCGTGAACAGAGTAGAAAGTATGCCCGCCCAAAAAAAAAAAAAAAAAAAAAGAGGGGCAACTTTAGATGATTCAACAAGTGCAATTAGGACAATCAGCTTGACATGAAACTGGATGGCAAGGGAAAAACTGACAAGGAAATGGTGTCCAGGTCAGGAAACCAGTGGATAGCAACATGTGTCATTCAAAGTACAAGGAAATATGTGTTCTGTAATCTGTAGCAGCCTGATTGTGCAGTACTATCATATCAAGTTAACAACTACTATCATATCAAGTTAACAACTACCGCCCTCTGTTTCAAATTATACGTTGTTTCAGCTTTTCTAGGTACATAGCTTTTGCTATGCACCAAGATAAACGATATGTCTAGATACATAATAAAAGTTGTGTATCTAGAAAAGCCAAAACAACCTATATATTGGAATGGAGGGAGTAGATCACTTGTAAAAGTAGGCTTAGAAACTGCATATTGTATTCTAGAATAGAAACAAGCACTATCAGTGTCGGTTCGTTCAAAAAATAAAGAAAAATGGTAAATGCAGGATATGCTTTTTCGATTGGCAGAAAAAGCCACTCGTAAAGTACAACAAATTATACTCAGGAACATGATTAAACAGATATGATTAGGAAACAAAAACAGAGATGATAATACTTACTCATTTCCGGAGTTCATGCGCATTGGATGATAACCACCTGCAGGTATTCCATTAACCACATGACCACTGGACAGACCACAGGCCATTGGATCCATGTGAGGCTGGCCGGGAGCAGGCATGATAGGCTGCTGAAGTACTGGATACCCCATTGGTAAATTGCTAACTGCACTGGAACCAGGTTTTCATTAAATAAGAATGGTAACAGCACCTTTCTACATACATGTGTAAATTTGTCAAGGATTAAAGCCAGGTTCTATTTACTGTCAAGGATTAACAGCCCCCTAAACCCTTGTTCTGTTATTAAACCATAACAAAGTGTTAAACAAGGATTTTTGGTACATAAAATTATATCGTAATAACACAGCTTACAAAATGAATCAGGGATAAAAAGTATTATTTTGCTAAGCAGTGATGAAAGTATTAATGTGGTGAATTCTACATTAACACAGCTTACAAAATGTAACAGGGGTAAAAGTATTATTCTGCTAAACAGGGATAATAGTATGAATCTGTAATGAATATAAATTTAACTAACATACATAAAACAGTGACTAGACAGTAAATGCTTGTCTATCAACAGTGCAAGCCAAATGCATTCCCAGATATAGCATGACAAGTGCCTACGTTGAGCCAACATTGCACCAATGAGTGAAACCAAGAAAGAGAAAGAAATTGTCTAACAGAAAATGTGAAGGCTTCCAAGTCGTAGGCAAGGGCAGGGGCAGTACATTAAATCTAAGGAAAACATGAAAAATGCAAAAATCCGAAATAGAAGCCTATTAACTTATTTTTCGAGAAAAAAAGCCTATTAACTTAGCCATCTTTCCAAGCAGACTTATAAACAGGGACATTACCTGGCATATGATGAATTCCATTTTGTATTGGAGCCAATGGAATATTTGGAGGTGCTGGATATTTCATCAAATTGTACTGGTGTTGCAATAAATGATTGAACAAGATGATCTGCCTTTTCAATTTCAGCCGTATATAGTAATCCCTAAAGAACTCAGAGTTCTCTTCTTCAAGTTTCTGCCATACTGAACACAAAGAGAACATTAAACAAAATGAGTAGAATTAAGAGCTCAGATCGGTATCGCAGAGGCTGAGCTCAGAAAGCATATAAAAATGTTTGTTTGTTCTGAGCATTCCAGTATATATCGATCATCATTGATCAACAGGGTAAATGCATGTACAACCCAAGGAAACTGCACGTTAATGTTGAGAAAAATTTTGGTCGCTAATGTGATTGGGCATGGTTATTTAAGACCAAGACAAAAAGTCGATACTTCAAGCAGTAGTGCAGTACTGCAATATTTTCCCTATCCTAAGCTTAAACATGTGAAAATAAAGCAAAGGGTGACATAAATGTTCCACCAAAAGCCCAGTGAATATAGAAAACATATAAACATGAACATCATCACCTAAAGTAGTGAATATAGAAAACATATAAACATGAACATCGTCACCTACAGTAGTGAATATAGAAAACATATAAACATGAGCACGTCACCTAAAGTAGTGAAGCCAGGTTCTATTCTAGCACGAGTAGAAAGAGTTCTAACTACTTCTCCTTTGTTCATGTATAGCTGTAGACAACGCTCTATCAAATTCTGAACCTGCAACAGGATGTAAAGTTCATTTAGTTGGCCAAAGCATAAAACTGTCAATGTAGAGGGGATGCCACTAGATAGCTAGAAAGCTTACAAGTTCAATATCTTCGCGAGACACCTTCTTATTGTCATTACTAGCTACAGATAAGGAACCTGAATTTCCTGCAGGAGCATCAGTGGCCATTGGGTTTGGTTGCTGACTTTGCACTTCATTAGTACCTTGTGCTGATGACTGCAACTCTGTCGTGCTCTTAATATCCTGTAGAACAAATCCTTAAGTAACATAATTCAACTGCCTGATGAAGGCAAAAAAGGGGGCAAAACTGGTATCGAAAGCAACATCAGTTCATTGTGAGCATATCAGCCAGAAATAAAAACTGGACCCTAGCATTGAAGAGGGAATCATTAGAAAGGGGACAACAGAGATCTTGGCAAGAAAGGATGAATCGTTTAAGCAAGATGACTTCACCCTGTTCTGCTGTATTACTTCAGCGGTACTTTTCAACGAACGAACAGTGTTTTTCTCTCACAGCAAATCAGCATAAGCATCAGCATAAGCCAAATTTTCTTTATATTTAAGTGCAAAATTTGAGTATTAGCTACAGAATATCCCATTAAAAAACTATAGAAAAAAAGTAACTGTTTAGCATGCAATACACATTGCATATAGCATATCACTAGCAGTCTACTGAAGGAAAAACTGTCCACGCTTGCACTGTATAAATCAACCAGCCATCATGTTTATTGTAGATGACAAAGAAAAAACAAAAAAGTAACACAACTCAGTTATGAATGAAGGGCTTAAGGCAAAAGCAAGCAAACTCACCTGAGAATCCTTCATTGGAGGTTATACATAAAAAGAACTAGTCGTAGGAGCAACGCTTTTTCTGCAAGAAAAATATAACAGTGGTTATTCTTGAGTTCACGTAAAATGGTGTAATATTTCAGCAGGGAGAAATATAACCATAAAAATCCCTGAAGGTTATACATAAAATGTTGCCACTTGATCCACCCTGCTTTAATTCTATGGCTAACGTCCACATCAATATCTCCATCCCTCTGTAGCATCAATCCCAGATACCGAAAGGTATCCTTCTTAAGCACTACTTGACCTTCCAAACTCACATCTCCCTCCTCCTGTACAACTCCGTCAGAGTCGCATCTCATGTATTTGATTTTAGTTCTGCTCAATCTAAAACCTTTAGACTCAAGGGTCTACCGCCATAACTCTAGTTTCCTATTTACTCACGCCTGACTTTCGTCCACTAACACTACATCATCAGCGAACAACATACACCAAGGGATATCCCCTTGTATGTTCCTGGTAACCTCATCTGTTACCAAGACAAAGAGATACGAGCTTAAGACTGACCCTTGATGAAGTTCAATTTTAATCGGGAAGTAATGTGTTACCATCGTTTGTTCGAACATTAGTCACAACATTGTTGTACATATCCTTGATGAGGGTCATGTACTTTGATGGGACTTTATGTTTGTCCAAAGACCACCACATAACATTTCTTGATATCTTGTCATAAGCCTTCTCCAAGTCAATGAAAACCAAGTGGAGGTTCTTCTTCTGCTCTCTAAACCGCTCCATAACTTGTCTTATTAAGAAGATTGCTTCTGTGGTTGACCTTCCGAGCATGAAACCAAATTGGTTTGTTGATATCTGCGTCGTTCCTCGCAGGCGCTGCTCGATGACTCTCTCCCATAACTTCGTAGTGTGGCTCATCAACTTAATTCCCCGATAATTAGTACAACTTTGGATATCTCTCTTGTTCTTGTAGATTGGTACCAATATGCTTCTTCTCCACTACTCAGGCATCTTGTTCGATCGAAAGATATTGTTGAACATCTTGGTTAGCCATACTATAGCTATATCCCCGAGACATCTCCACACCTTGATTGGGATACCATCAGGGCCCATCGCTTTGCCCCCTTTCATCCTTTTCAAGGCTTCTCTGACCTCCGATTCTTGAATCCTCCACACAAAGCGCTTGTTAATATCATCAAACGAGTCGTCCGGCTGAACGGTGGTGTTCTCGTTCTCATCATTGAACAATTTATCAAAATACTCTTGCCATCTATGCCTGATCTCATCCTCCTTCACCAAAAGCTGCTCCCTCTCATCCTTTATGCACTTGACTTGGTTGAAGTCCCTTGTCTTCATATCGCGAGCCCTAACCATCCTATAAATGTCCTTTTCTCCTTCTTTCGTACTCAAACGTCGGTAAAGGTCCTCATAGACCCGCCCCTTTGCCTCACTCACCGCTCGTTTTGCAGTCTTCTTTGCCGCCTTGTACTTCTCTATGTTGTTTGCACACCTGTCATGATACAAGCGCTTATAGCACTCCTTTTCCTTAATAGCCTTTTGCACATCTTCATTCCACCGCCAAGTGCCTTTCGAGTCGCATCCGCTCCCTTTCGTCACTCCAAGCACCTCTGAAGCAACATTCCGAACGCATGTTGCCATCTTCTCCCACATGCTGTTTGCATCGCCTTCATCATTCCAAGGGACCTCTTCAATGACCTTTTCTTTAAAGACCTTTGATGCCTCCCCTTTTAATTTCCACCACTATGTTCTAGCAACCCTAGCTTGTTTGTTCGCACGAGCTTGCACCAGAAAGCGGAAGTCTACCACCACCAGCTTGTGTTGAGCGACCACACATTCTCCAGGTATCACCTTACAGTCCACGCATGTTCGTTTATCCCTCATTCTTGTAAGGACAAGGTCGATTTGACTAGAGTACTGGCCGCTACTAAAGGTCACTAAATGGGACTGTCTCTTACGAAAAAAAGTGTTAGCTATCATCAGATCAAAAGCTATGGCGAAGTCTAAGACTTCCTCTCCCTCCTGGTTCCTACTACCATTCCGAAACCCCCATGAACCGCCTCGAAGCCTGCACTTGATGTACCTACATGGCCATTAAGATCACCTCCTATAAAGAGCTTCTCGCTACTACGGACAGCTCTAACCAAGCGATCTAAGTCTTCCCAGAAAAGCCGCTTGGCACTCTCATCATGGCCTACTTTGAGGGCCTACGCACTAATTACGTTTAATACCATATCACTAATGACAAGTTTAACTAAGATGATCCTATCCCCTTGCCTTCTCACCTCCACCACACCATCCTTGAGGCTCTTATCAATCAAAACTCCTACTCTATTTTTATTTGAAGTTGTCCCTGTGTACCAGAGCTTGAAGCCGGTATTGTCCACCTCCTTCGCCTTCTGCCCATTCCATTTAGTCTCTTGGATGCATAAGATATTTACACGCCTCCTAACCGCTGTGTCCACTAACTCTCTTAACTTACCTGTAAGGGGCCCTACATTCCAGCTACCTAAACGGATCCTAGTTGGCTCGACTAGCTTCCTTACCCTTCGCACCCGCCGAGGTAGGTGTAAAGACCCTTGCTCATTTTGCACCACACCCGGACGCCGATGTGGCGCGCCACTAAGGATGCGACGAACCGATCTTTGCTCACTTGACACCGTGTCCAGATCGCGACACGGCGCATCACAGGGGTGACGACCCGACCCTTGCTCATTTAACACCATACCTGGGTTCCGACATAGCGCGTCGCTAAGAGGGCTACGCCCCAACAGGATTCTTTTGGGTTTCATCTTCATTAAAATGGCTAAGTTTTTATATTGGCTCGCCGCGTCTAACACAACCCTCCTCCTTTACCAGGGCTTAGGACCTGCTATGCTAGGACACCAAAGGCGCCCCACCATAGGCGGAGTTCTACGGGTCCTTTAAGGTTACATGAAATCTAGTAGGTTTGGGGGTTTCTTATAAGAAACTAGAATGGCCTTTTTGAAGTTTACAAGGTTAAAACTTAAAACTCATGAGCTTTATAATATATAATCATGTTCAACTCACACCATCATAATATTGGTGGCATCACAAAGATGTAGCCAAAAAAAAAAAGCAAACCTTATACTAATGGGTAGCAATGCATCGTTGATTGTGAAAGTTAATTTATTTGTGAAAAAACTAGCAGTCTAGCACTAGCGCTCAATAAGGAAATTCAGATTATAACAACACCCCTCATAGGAATTGCAAGAACTTTGGAAAGGTAAGGAAAGAAACAACAAGCTTTGTTTAGAAAACACAAAGGGCCCCATGTGACTCAGCCCCCAAAAAATGATGAAGGGAAAGAAAAAAATCCTCCTGCAAGCTTACAGTAAAGTAAGAACCAGTCTTAGAAAAAAGTACAGATTTGCAAAGTAAGATTCTTTACGAGGATTCAAAAAGAGAGGAATAAGAATCACACTAACAGGGTCGCAGAATCTAAGCCCTAATAAAGATTTCGACTTTGCGGCAGGGGCCGACAGGTACGTGGCCGCCTTGTACATGAGGAACCCGTACGCCACAGCACCAGGGAGAGGTTCCCGAGCACGATCGTGGTGCAGGGGAGGAACCGAGGAAGCCGTAGGACTGCTCGCACTTCTCCTCGGCCGCCGACCCCCGCGGCCGGCGCGGAGCCCGAGAAGCGGATCGCCGAGAGGAGCGGCGCGGACGGGGCGCCGTCGGAGATGAGGCGGCCGTACGCGGCGGCCGCCAGGAGGGAGAGCAGGAGCCGTAAAAAGAGTTACAAATAACCTTAGGGATTGGGTGCTCGGTTTCGCGTAGCGGGAAGGGAAGGGAAGAGAAGGGGTGGACATACCTGGTGGGTGCTCGTCGCCGGCGAAGGGCCGTGGGGCGCCTAGCGAAATGCGGCGGAGGCAGTCGCCCAGTCGTCGCCACGAGCGAGAGGGAGGGAAGGAGAGCGCGCACGCGGGGTGAACGGGAGAAGATAAAGCAGGTGGTTAAGGGGCCGTTTGGCACTTTGGGCACAAGGTAGCTAGAGTGCTGGCATCCGTGTGTCTTTGGACTTGTGAGATGGAAATTGGAATGGTTGGGTGGCGAAGGGACCTTTATGGGTTGGATTTGGAACCTATGAATTTTAAGGGAGCCATATAATTTTATAGAGATCATTTAATTTTATAAACTTATACTTTAAATGGAATCTAAATTGAATTATTGGATAGTTTGGTAAAATTAATCGCGGCATACCACAGTGCACCCACTAATATATATATTTTTAAATAAGAATCAAGTGTTGCAAGTATGCATAATTACAACCACAACAAAACACTATCTCGCGCGTTCCCATGTATAAATTCACCAACTCTCAA